TTGATAGGAGTAATATTTTTCAATGAAATTTAATTCATTGCACTCCTCTCATCATCTCCTATCGAATGATATATAACATATTTGTATGTCTTGACATTCATATTTTGCGATTTGCACATGCTCTTACTCTGTATGTATTATAGGGATACTATCCCTAACTCACTCACTCACTCACGTCTCATATAGTCGAAAAATGAAAATTTCCGATAGGCGAAAAAATCATTGCACGACATGAGACAAAGTGTAATTAATAGAAGTGCAGTAAGCTGGGCTGCCTCTTCTACTATCCTACGCCACCATATGCTATACTGCTATTATAGAACTGAAGGTCTCTTATGAGACTGACTAGAGGATCGCAGTGAATAATGTGGATGTCAGGGCATAACTTTTGATAGGAGTAATATTTTTCAATGAAATTTAATTCATTGCACTCCTCTCATCATCTCCTATCGAATGATATATAACATATTTGTATGTCTTGACATTCATATTTTGCGATTTGCACATGCTCTTACTCTGTATGTATTATAGGGATACTATCCCTAACTCACTCACTCACTCACGTCTCATATAGTCGAAAAATGAAAATTTCCGATAGGCGAATAAATCATTGCACAACATGAGACAAAGTGTAATTAATAGAAGTGCAGTAAGCTGGGCTGCCTCTTCTACTATCCTACGCCACCATATGCTATACTGCTATTATAGAACTGAAGGTCTCTTATGAGACTGACTAGAGGATCGCAGTGAATAATGTGGATGTCAGGGCATAACTTTTGATAGGAGTAATATTTTTCAATGAAATTTAATTCATTGCACTCCTCTCATCATCTCCTATCGAATGATATATAACATATTTGTATGTCTTGACATTCATATTTTGCGATTTGCACATGCTCTTACTCTGTATGTATTATAGGGATACTATCCCTAACTCACTCACTCACTCACGTCTCATATAGTCGAAAAATGAAAATTCCCGATAGGCGAATAAATCATTGCACAACATGAGACAAAGTGTAATTAATAGAAGTGCAGTAAGCTGGGCTGCCTCTTCTACTATCCTACGCCACCATATGCTATACTGCTATTATAGAACTGAAGGTCTCTTATGAGACTGACTAGAGGATCGCAGTGAATAATGTGGATGTCAGGGCATAACTTTTGATAGGAGTAATATTTTTCAATGAAATTTAATTCATTGCACTCCTCTCATCATCTCCTATCGAATGATATATAACATATTTGTATGTCTTGACATTCATATTTTGCGATTTGCACATGCTCTTACTCTGTATGTATTATAGGGATACTATCCCTAACTCAGTTGCTTTGGTTTAGAGCTTTCATTATCCTTATGGACAATGTCATTTTAGAACAGGACATACATAAGCGTACAATATTGTTGTTTTCGATTAGATCGTCATCAGGTTGCTTCTTTACTCTCTAATATACATGAATATTTATAAATGAAAATGTTCTGACCAATGAAGGCAATTTGTGAGTCAAATGATCGCAATGAAATGAAATAGAGATTACGTCACTACACGTATAATAAGCAAAATTACAAGTGAATAGTAGTAGGAAGACAGAGGTGTACTGATAGTAAGTAGTAATAAAATTATAAAATATGATAACTAAAGTTTTCATTACAGGGGTTGTGAAGATTGGTAAGTTATACATTTTCGAAACCATGAATCGACCAATGTTAGACCACTATTAGAAACCGGGATGAAGCACTGAACGGCCGTTTCGTCCTGGTATGGGACTCATCAGTGGCAGTGCGCATCCGTGACTCCTGCATTTGATCAAGTTAGACATTAACACTGTTAGATACCGGCTCAGTGGTCTAACGGTTAGGGCGTTCGCGCACGATACCGAAGGTCCTGCGGGATGCAGGAGTCGTGGATGCGCACTGCTGAGGAGTCCCATACCGGAACGAAACGGCCGTCCCGCAGTGCTTCCAGGTTTCTAATGGTGGTCTAACATTGATCGATTCATGGTTTCAAAAATGTGTAACTAAAGTTTAATCAATAGTAGGTCAATGGTGGATGAATAGACTTCAAATAATCATTTAAAAACCATCAAAACCATTACCTAATAAACGAAAAGAGGCAGAGAATTACCGACAATTACAGGATGTGAAAATAATGCTTATAAGAAACAAAATAAAATTTAATCCCCCCCCCCCCAAAAAAAAACATTTTCATTTAAAAATATTCATGTATATTAGAGTAAAGCCTGCTATTATTTTTACCACTTTAGAATTTTAAACAGACATTACTTCTCTGTGTGTGTGTGTGTGTGCTATTGTGGTATGGCAACTTGAATGGATGTATGTACATGTGTATCACGTCGCACATTGTAACTGACTGATTGAATAATCAGGAAGATGACCTGCATAATTCCATCATCTTAACTCAGTCAGTCAACATCAACATAGAATTTCACACATGCTTACATCAGCTCAAGTTGCCATACTACACATTAGCACCTAGAGATGCTATTGTCACTTCAAATCCCATAGTAGTAGAGGTAGTGGAAGTGTTAGACTAATCGGAGAGATTAGGGTCCAATCTAGTGAAATAAACTTAAAAGCAAAAGACTAAGGTGATGAGTAATTCATAAGATTAGGATTTGAGAGAACACAAAGAATAAATGCACGTGCACCATTACAAGCGGTTAGGCATACGTAACACAATAAATGTGTCAATCATCTCAACTGATAAAGTTTCAATAATTCATCTATTGATCTGCCATCCCTACCTAGTACCCGTTTCCTAACGACAGCATTGCTTACTCCGTTGTCCGATGATACACGAGCAATGCTTCTAAGATATCTCTAATTGAATACTAGTAACCTACGAATATCTTCCATTCTTACTGGCAATGTTTCGCAGTCATAAAGCGAACTCAGTCAGTCAGTCAGATGCAACGTAGAACTTCGTGCGTAAGTACATTAGTTCATATTACCATACCACATTAGCACAGAGATATAATTGTCAATTCAAATCCAATAGTTGTAGAGGTAGTTAAAGTATTAGAAGTAATCGGAGAGGTTAGGATTAGAAGATATTATTATTCAAGAAGTATGATTCAGTGAGATAAGGTTAGAAAGACAAAGGTAGAGGTGTTGACGAATCCAGAAGATTAGGATTTGAGAGAGCTCAAAGAATGGATGCACTTGCGTCATTGCAAACGATTCTGAGCCATGTCATTCAAGGTCTCTAACAATTGGTGACTTTCGTCTCGCGGACCCCAACCACGTAGCCAACATCTTCCAACATGACTCAGTACACTTGTCAGTGACTTCATGCATTTCTGCCATGTTTTGATCTGGCCGCCCCTAACTTTCTTCCAACCTATTCCTGCACTACAAAACAAAGCTCTTCGAGGCAGTCGGTGGTTAGGCATACGAAACACATGTCCCAACCACCTCGACTGATGAAGTTTCATTACTTCACCTATTGATCTGCCATTCTTACCTAGCACACAGATTCCTAATAACAGCGTTGCTCACTCGGGTGTCCCAGGATATACGAGCAATGCTTCGAAGACACCTATCTATGATCGAAAACCAATAACCTACGAATATCTTCTACTCTCACTGGCCATTTTTCACAGCCATAAAGTAAGACGGAGCTAACTGAAGTGCATTATACTTGTTTTTGTGCTTAACAAACGAATATCTCACCTATGCCATAAGCCAATTCAACTTACACACACTATATATAGACGAATCATTTAAAAAGTGTACATCTCCCTTTTTTCCTTAACCCTCCCCCCGTCATCTTATTATTATTATTTCCTATTAGATAAGTCATGAAATCGGTGGTCAATTAGTAAAATATTCAGCACGTGATGCATGTCCATTAGTACGTTGTATGGTTGTCGAGGCATTTCGTGGTTTAGTAAAACAATTTGAAATACAATTATGCGCTATCGGTATACAATATTTACAAGAAATCTCTATGAAACAAATTCATCAATGCTCATCAAATCAACAATATTGTAAAAAATTATCTATGTATTCTATTCCACCGACTACATCGTCATCCACGTCAGCCTCAGCGTCGTCGGGGTCGGCGTTCAATGTCAAACGACCGATACGTCATAGTACAATAAGTAAATGATTTTTGATTTTTTTTTATTGTTGATTTTATTTTCTAATGTAATTTTCATTGAAACAGTCCAGTTCGATGGATGATGAACTGATATTTTGCAAATTAACGATTTACGATATGGTTTTCCGATGATTTTACTGAGTAACTCTGTAATTTTCGTTAAAATACAATCCGGTTGTCCCAACCTGTGTTCTCGTTCACAACATTTGGTGTCGCTGCCTGCTCGAAAGAAGGAGCTCCCGTGGCCGAAGGAGTTGGAGAACGGAGATTTGCGGAACTACCTAGAGGAGTCTGAGGCCGCGGTGGAGCTGGTGGTTGTGAAGAGGGGCCGGCGGCGGATTTGGAGGTGCTGGGGACGCTGCGGGGAGGTGAGCCGAAGGCGGTATACGACAGCCTGGTTGGTGCCGCCAGGGAGACGGTCACCGGGAAGCTGATGAAGGAGTTGGACACCGCGGTGGACAGGGAGGAGGCGCCTCAGAGGTTCCGGTTGGCGAGGCTGTCGGTGACCTGTTGGTGCTGGCTGTGGAGCTCACGATGTTGCTGCGCCATACGCTGCCGAGTATGGATGGAGAGTCGGGGGCACAGTTGTTGCCGTCGCAATTCATCGAGAGTGTGTCTGCCGCCGTGTCGCAGCAGCGGGAACTAGTAAACGCTACACGTGGGATAGATGCCGTACCCATTCCAGACCAGCGGGCAAGAACAATGACCAAAGTGGTAATCCGGCATATTGTAGCGTGTCACCGGAATGCGGAAGGTGATATTAACTGACCAGGGTCCCTGTTTTGAAAGACTACGACGACAGCTTATTAAAAGGGGGGACGAGTGTGGTGTGATCTACTTATAAGTAGTATATGACGTGGGCGTCAACGTAATGTCTAGCAGCAGAAGATGGGGGAAGATCAAGAAACGAATATTTAGAACACAATGGAATTTGTATGAAATGCATCCACGTCAGCGTCGTCGGGGTCAGCGTTCAATGTCAAACGACCAATACGTCATAGTACAATAAGTAAACGATTTTTGTTTTTTTTATTGTTGATTTTATTTTCTAATGAAATTATCAATTAATTATTGTTTAAAAATACCAGTATTAGAAACCTGGAAGCATTATAGACGGTGACCTCCGCTCATGGAAGTCGCATGTAAGACCTCCGGTCTCTCGCGCGCCAAACCAAAACATGGCACAAATCCATGAAGTCATTGACGAGTGGACTGAGTCATGTTGGTAGTTGTCGACTACATGGTTGGAGTGGGCGAGATGATAATAATCGATGGTTAGAGACCTTGAATAATGACATTGCTTAAAATCGTTCGCAATGGCGCTGGTGAATTTATTGTTTGTGTTCTCTCAAATCCTAATCTTCTGGATTCTTCAACATCTCTAGTTTTGATTTTCTAAACTTTTCTCATTGAATCATACTTCTTGAATAATATCTTCTAATCCTAACCTCCACAACCAAAACATCCAGCTCAGAGAACCAAACACCACCACCATAATCATCCATCTGAGCTACAAATCTTCTTCACCATCTCAACGATTAATCTCTTGCACACTGAGTCGGCGGTATGTAACAGTGTTAATGTGTAAATGTTAATCAATTCCAAGGTATTGTGTAACCTTCATCTATTGCCTTCGGTGTGGATAACTGTCTCCTACTTGACATAGTTGAACTTCACTACTGGTTATGGCTTCTCATTAGAACTCTGAGAAACTACTACCTTACGAAGCTAGTCATTAATGAACAGATTTTTGTGATTTTCATATACACTTGTGGAGATCGATCATTTTTCATGACACTATTAGAAACCTGGAAGCATTGAGCGGCCGTTTCGTCTTAATATCGGTCTTATGCACGACCTCCGCATACGGTCTTGCGCATGGACGCTTAATCTTTTGACCACTGAGCCAGCGGCATCCACTTTGTGGTAATGTCAAAATTTTAATCAATCCAACGTCTTTCACAACCTTTTTTCGCTTTCATATTTTCAAATTTGAAATCATCGATCAATCATTGTTAGGCAGAGCACCTGGAAGCACTGGATGCGCACTGCCACTTATGAGTCCCATACACCAGGACGAAACAGCCGTCTAAACAGTGCTTCCAGGTTTCTAATGGTGCTCTGTCTAACAATGATTGATTGATTGATGATTTCAAAGATGTGTTTAATAACACAAAACCTCCAAAACTCTGCCTGAAAATATCGTAACAGTGCTCACTAGTGGTGACTAGCTTCGTGAAGAAATTCTCGGAGTTCTAGTTGAGAAGACGTGACCAATGGATGAGTTCAACCCTGTCGAGTGTAGGCAATAACTACCAAAGGCAAATGGGTGAGGTCGCGCAAAATCCGTAGACCAATCAGAGTTAGACATTAACACAGTTGGATGCCAGCCCTGAGGTCTGATGGTTAGGCATTCGCGCACAATACCGAAGGTCGGTCCCGGGTTCGAATTCTGTGAGGTAGTGCAGGAGTCGTGGATGTGCACTGCCACTGATGAGTCCTATACCAGGACGAGACGGCCGTCTAAACAGTGCTTCCAGGTTTCTAGTAGTGCTCTGTCTAACAATGATTGATTGGCGGATGATTTCAAAAATGTGTTTAATAACACAAAACCTCCAAGAAACTCTGCCTGAAAAATTTTTTTTATATATTTTCGTTTTTTTCATTTTAAACAGGTGTAGTCACACCACCAGGTGGAGCAAATAACAACAACAACAGCAACAACAACACTGTAGTCACTGCATATTCAACTCGCCCATCGGAATCCACTTCAAATCATACAAATTTACATGGTAGTTGGTCTCTGATTAAATCATCAAATCGAGAAATCGATCAACAGCAACAACATAATTATTCTTCTTATTCTTATTATAAAACTCAGCCACAAGCTTCACCAGTTTTACGCAAATCCGTTTTTAATCCTGGTTCAGTATTCTTTACTGGTTAGTTGTTAATGCTAATTGTTTTCTGTGTGTGTGTGTGCGTGTTTGTTTGTTTGTGAGTAATCTTAGTAAGTAGTATGTTTCCATATGTGTGTGTTGTTGATTTTGATATTTATTTGGTGTGCTTATCAGCTCCCCATCTCAAACAGAAAGTAATATTTTATTGTAAGATTGATGATCTATGGTTAGAGTCTATAAACAACTAAACAGTTTGTGAATCAAAAGAGGGTAATTGGACTGAGTGAGAAGTCGTACTGTGGTGTGCGCTACTTATAAGTAGTATATGACGCGAGTGTAAACGTAATGTCTGGCAGCAGAGAAGATGAGGGAAGATCAAGAAAGAAAGAGTGGGAACACAATGGGATTTGTATGAAATGCATGAATAGTGAAATGTCAGACAATGGATTGAAGATTTGCAAATTAACCGTTTACGATATGGTTTTCCAATGATTTTACTGAGTAACTCTGTAATTTTCGTTAAATACAATTCGGTTGCCCTCACCTGTGTTCTCTTTCACTACAGTACTACTGACTGTAGACGAGTGTGACCGTGATAAGGTGCTTCCTTCAAACAACCAACATTTGCAGTAGTGCTGCTTTCTTAGGACGGAAGGAAGTGGTCGACCCTAAAAATGTAACACCTCACCTTAGCCCACGGATTTTCTTCTCTGTTGGTAAGGTCTTTGAAAGAGTGGAGTTAACAAGTTCCTTAAAATGTTTGTACGCAACCGGCCTGAAGTAGTTGTCCCTTGTACACTCTGCGGTCAGTCAGGCTTTCAGGTTACGAAAACCAGCACTAATCGAACTTCTTTTCCAGGTTCCTCGAGAAATACTCTTTCACGGTATAGACAACCAGGTAGTAACTCCCACCATCATATCTGTAACAACACACGAGACCAAATGTTTCACAGTCTCAGTGTGCCGATATGATTTGGGGACGTGTACCTACGTACCAAGTTCCATGTTTTAGCTAACTGAATTGGTTGAAAATCCTACTCTAACCTGTTAACAAGATTCAAGAAACTAATAATTTTCAGTAGATTTAAATCTGGATCAGTCAGTTTTAAATTTTATGTACGTTTCTCTGACTCGTGCCAAATAACCTAAAGTTTATATCCGGAGTTCTTTGCTGACTCACTCTATATATCCTAATATCTATTCATAGTGCATATGATGTCGAATCACCACTGTCACATTATAGCACTGTCCGCAGTTTCGTTGTCAAAAGCTTTAAACACTTTAGTCATATTCGAACATTTCACAAGAAAAAACGAATCATTCTCACTCTTGACTGTATCAGTTTAATAAAGAGATACGTGATAAGTACATCAACATGTTCTGAAATATATCAGTATGAAGTTTTATCTGAAATTCACTTACTTCTTCGAAATGATAAGTCGATCGATGTTAGACAACCATTGGAAGCTTATAAGTACTAGAAGGCCGTTTTATCCTATTATGTAACTAACCAGCTGCGTGCTTCAAGACTCCGCTAGTGAGTCATCAGTTGAGGTAGTTGGAACATGCGTTACGTATGCCTAACCACCGACTGCCGTGACGAGCTATGTTTTGTGGTGTGGGAATAGGTTGGGGGTGGCCAAACCGAAACATGGCCCAAATCCATGAAGTCATTGACAAGTGAACTGAGTCGCGTTGATAGATGTAGGCTACGTGGTTGGGGTCCGCGAGATGATAATACTCGATGGTTAGGTACCCTGAATGACATGGCTCAGAATCGTTTGCCATGGCGCAGGTGCATCTGCTCTTTGTGTTCTATGAAATTCTAAGCTTCTGCATTCCTCATAATCTCTACCTTTCTCTTCATAAATTTATCTTACTAAATTATACTTCTCGAATCGTATCTTCGCTTCCTAATCTTCTCCATTACTGCTAATACTTCTATTATTGCTATAACTATTGGATTTGAACTGACAGTTGCGTCTGTGTGCTGATGTGGTATGGCAACCTGAATTGATGTACTTACTTACGAAGTTCTACGTTGTGTCTGTCTGTCTGTCTGTCGAACTCAAGGTCTGTTTTTCTCGCGATTACTTAATCTCCTGAACATCTGAACTGGCATCTAACAGTATTAATGTCTAACTTGAATCGATGCATGATATTGCACGATTTCAATTATCGTCTTCAATGGTAACTGCCTCATACACACACATGTGGACTTCAACCAGGTAGTCTACATCCTTACTGACATAACTCAGTATTCAATCGTCAATGACTCCATGAACTGACAATGCCTTGTTTCATTTTGGTCGACGCCTTAGCCTTCTTCCAACCTACTCCTACCTCAGAAAACATCGCTCGTTAAGGTCGTCGATGGTTAGGCACACGTACCACCTGTCCAAACTAGTATTTTTTTGCCGTATACAAAAGTGTTCGTTATTATTTTGGACAAGTATTCTCTATTCTATTATTTTAGGCAGTGGTAATACACCTAGTACAAATATCTATGTACAATTTTGGTTGACATTAATTCAATTAGCACAAGATCCTTATTTGGAAATTTCTCGTTTGGCTACTATTTTACTACAGTATCTTTATGGAAAAGTAAGTTTTTGAATTTATCTATGTTGATACACTTTTTTTTGCGACCTCTTTTTTTAAAAAAATTTTTACTGATGGTTTCATGGTTTTTTATTTTTCAAAGACGTGACGAATGGAGTTCAACCCCTGTCGGGTGTAGGCTGTAACTACTAAAGACAAATGGGTGTGGTGGCGCGAAATCCGTAGACCAATTAGAGTTAGGCATTAACACCATTTGGATGCCGGCCCAGTGGTCCGATTTTTAAGCGTTCGCGCACAATACCGAAGGTCGGTCCCGGGTCCGAATCCTGCGTGGTGCTGTAGTCGTGGACTCGCACTGTTGATGAGTCCCATACACCAGGACGAAACGGCCGTCCAATGATTGATTGATGATTTCAAATGTATATTTTCTATATGTGAACACAAAGACATTGGTACAAAGTGAGCACATAAATGTCTAAGGGGTTATGATTGAATTTATTAGTAATAGGCTGGGACAGTGCCTGGTTGCCTTAAACCATAACATTTGGTTTTCAGCGCATCTGCTGTGATGTTGTCTGGTCCCGCTGATTTCACGCTCTTTCTGATGTTTAATAAAATTTTCAAGAATTTACACCAGTGGTTTTTAGGTTATATGAATGGAAAATACATCAGTATCTACCAATCTAGTTTATACGGAATCACTGTTCCTTCTGTATGTCAATTCATTGACATGACTGACTCTTAGTTGGTTGTTAGGATATTCATCCAATATCCTAAGACAATTATTGGTCAATTCCTATTGGTTAATTCCTACTGGTCAATTTTATGGTCGTCCTAGATATCAATGTCACACGCTCCAATGTTGTTTCTTATTGGTTGTCCTGGCTATCAATGTCACTTCAAATGTTGTTACTTCCTATTGGTCGTCTTGACTGTCAATGTCACAGAATTCGATGCTGTTTCCTATTCGACCAAAAATATATAAATACGCATTATCTGTAACATTTTATGACCAGGACCAGGACCCGGATCCTGATTCTCTTCTGGATTCAGACCTCGTACATTCTGGATGCTTGTAGAATGCAGGTTCTACTTCACATTCAAGTCTTCTTATTTTCACTCAATATAGGGGGTTTGGATAATCGGATTAGAGTAGCATGTCGTGTCACCGGATCCTCGCTCTCGTTTTCCGACTACTAGGTAAACTTGTAATAATTCAACTATATATCAAAAGTTGACGTGTTTACGTGCAGGCATAACATCCGTTTTGCATATCACCTTATTGTCTCATAAAATCACAAGTTCGAGATCCATTTCTACTGTATTTGATAGTTGGTAGTTTGACTTCCAAGTGATTTTTAAGTTTGTTTTTTTTTCTTGAGATTAAAATTGTATCATGATCTCATAAAGTGAATGTTATCGATTTTCTTTTTCATTTTTTTTCTCTGTTTAGATTCGTGAAAAGGTACGTCATGTCTTTTGCACCTTGTCATTAAAAATAGTAATAATAATTTATATTGTTACGTCATTAAGAGCAACATAGATTTTGACCTCCGTTTAACACAAATTTGCATTCACTGTGCCAAGGTTCATCATTTTCGCCTTTTCTAATTTTGAATTGTGACACAAATGAAGTATCTGCTTTTCAACTAAACAATGAGTTTATTGCGCATCGGTTTTCACTGACAGACATGTTACTTAGAAATGGGGGGGGGTGATATTTCATAGTCAGTCAGATGCAACGTAGAACTTTGTACATAAGTACATCAGTTCATGTTGCCATACCACATCAGCACAGAGAAGTAATCGTCAATTCAAATCCAATAGTAGAAGAGGTAGTAAGGGAGAGGTTAGGATTAGAAGATACTATTCTAGAAGCATGATTCAGTGAGAAAAGTTTAGAGAGTCGAAACTAGAGGTGTTGAAGAACTCAGAAGATTAGCATTTGAGAGAACACAGAGAATAAATGCACTGGCGCCATTGCGAACGATTTTGAGTCATGTCATTCAAGGTCTCTAACCATCGATTATTATCATCTCGCGGACCGGATATTTCATAGGTTGCCAGTTAATTTGATCATAGATTATGTATTTGGTGGATTGTTCGTTTTACACTGTCTGGCAATGCAGTGAACAATTCTGATGTGATTAAATGCAGAGCACTAAGTAAATATACCGAATTATTTGAGTGGATGGATGTTTATTGATGGTGATGATTGGGACATGTCGTGCTTGTGTGTGTCTATCTGTCAACTAACTACCTTGATAAGCGATAATGTCTGATATCAGTCAGTCAGTCATTCAGTCAGTTACAACATAGAACTTCGTATGTAAGTACATAGGTTCAGGTAGCTATACTATATTACCACAGGTTCAAATCCCACAGAGGTAAAGACAGTAGAAGTATTAGCAGTAATCGGAATTTTTAGGGTTCAACGATATTATTTAAGAGTAGAATCTAGTGGAATGAACCTAAAAAGATAAAGGTGATGAGGAATTCAGAGGGTAAGGATTCGAGAGAACATAATGAATGAATGCACTTGCGTCATTGTAAGCGGTTTTAAGCCATGTTATTCAGGGTCTCTCGTTTACTATCATCTTGCGGACCCCAACCAGGTACTCGACACTAACTAACATAACTCGATCCAATTGTCAGTGACTTCATGGATTTCTGCCATGTTTTGGTTTGGCCGCCCCCTGGCTTCTTCCAACCTATTCCTACACCACAAAATATCACTCGTCGACACAGTTGATCAGAGGGCGAAGTTGTACTGGTGATGCCTGATATAGAAGTATATTCATGTAAATCTTAGGGATGATTAAACCATGACATGTGCTACCCCCATAAATAAATTAATTATTGAACTGATTTATGTGAATACGTGGAAACGGTTTAGTTGAAAAGTTTTCACTTATCGTTAATCAAAATGGATAGACACTTTGAGTCATCTGTTTGGAAATTATTGAGAATGGATACAACTACTATGACTAGATCCTAGTAGATAGTCGCTTGTAAGCTGTCCGACTGAATGGGACAGTAAGAACTTGGAAAGATATGGACATTCGTCGTTGTCACTTTGTCGTGCCTCTACCTAAGCTCTCTAACCTCTGACTGATGTAAACTACTGAGTTTTTCAATTCTGCGTAAATTTCCTTTTGGAATTTGTTAGTTTTATATTGATTTCGTAATATTTTCTCGATCATATTCCTAATCTGGTCATAAGCACACGTTACAATTGTGGATTTTGCTTGTTGTGATAATTGAGTATGTACGATAACTTGGTTCATGGTATGGCAACATGAACTGATGTACTTACATACAAAGTTCTACGTTGCATCTGACTGACTGACTGATAACTTGGTTGTATGTATTCATCTACCAAATCCCATGTGTGTTGTGTCGTTTTTTTATTGACGAAGTAAGATTAAATTAACAGGATGAATAGTGGAGATATCGACAATAATACTCTTACAATAGTTAGAAAACTTATACAAGCTCTCTACTCGAACACTACTAGTCGAGTGAGTGCTTAGGGTGAACTGTCATCTCAATTGACTACTTCGTGTGGTGTCCGTTAGGTCTGTCCACTCTCTCCATTCTTGTATAACTTTGTCAAAGACATGTTTTTGGAGATAACATTATCTTCGTCTGTCTTTACAGGGGTGGATCTTCTACTGGAAGATTCACTTCTCCACTTAGAATATACCGATGACATAGTTCTATTCGGTGAAGACGTTGACAAAATGCGGAGTCTTCTGAACAGCGTAAGCAAATCAGTCAGTTGCAACGTAAGAACTTCGTACGTATATACGTACATAAGTTCATGTTGCCATACCACATTAGCACACAGAAACGCAAATGTCAAATCAAATCACATAGTGACAAAGATAGTAGAGGTGGTATTAATGGTAATGAAGAAGACTAAAGGGTTTGAAGATATTATTCAAGAAGTATAATTCAGTGAGATAAGTAAGTTTAGAAAGACAAAGGTAGAGGTGTTGACGAATTCAGAAAGTTAGGATTTGAGAGAGCTCAAATATTGCAACCATGTTCGGGATGCGATTCTCCTAACCGAGTTGCATCGACACCTGAACTCTATATATTTTACAATGAATAGAGTGCTTTTTGTTCGTTTGGCGTCAAACTTTTTCTTTGTAGTTTAGCTGCGCCTGGGACACAAAGGAATAATTTAACGTTGTTCTGCCATTTATTGTGTCGTTGTGGCGTTATACGTTCCGGTTTTTTTTAGACGCTATCAAAACTAGCTTATTGAAAATTTGTTTTTCAAAACCTAATCCTTTTTTTTTGTTTTCCCCTCTTTTTTTAAACAAGCCTGAATTTCAAGCAATCTATTGTAATTTATCAAACAATACTACTAACAACAGCAACAATAATAGTAGTAGTAGTAATAGCAATAGTCACGTTAATATTCATGAGGAGACTACTTCCATCTCACCGTCGAATAAAACATCATTCACATGTAATCATCTATCGGGGGATCATCAGCATACTGTCAACAAATTGAATTCCCCGCCGGATCAGAATAATTCACAAACTACTACTACTACTACTAGTAGTAGTAGTAGTATAATAACATCAAGTCGATCAGAACAGTAAGTTACTGTTCGTTGTCTATATTGATTTGAGTTTATGTGGATGAAGTAATTTCCAAATGAGACGTGTACCATTGAACACGGTCAGAATGAATGAAGTTCGATTTTGTTTAAGCTAATTTACTTCTACGCCAGTGGGTATTTTGTGTATTGAGGTTGATAATAGTTAGGACCGGTGTCCTTACTAAGATATACAGATTGGATGAAATTCAGTTAATGTAATAAGCCAATTAGAATGGGTCAGATAAGGACATCATTGGATGACCATGATGACCGCATGTCATTGGTCAAGAAACGGCTTCTTTTTCACAGCAGTAGCCAGTATTCCCCTCTTACCGTCTCGTTCAATTAGCTAGTTTTGTTTGGAGTGGAGGGGGGCGGTGGTTTGCAACTTTTCTTATTCTGATCTTGGGGATCAGTACACCGTAACATAAATCCGTGAATGTCATCTTGGTATTTGTGAAACTAATTGAATCTAAAGTCATTTTATTCAGGATATCTTCTATTTGATTTGCGTGGTGACATCATACTGTTGATAGTGCTTAGGATCCGTTGTTGAAAGTATGGAGCTAATACTTTGAGAACTATCCATACAAAGGCTGAATAATGTTATCATACTCCCAAATCGTCAAAATCACTTAAAATCTAGTTCCTTTTTTCACGTTTCGTCATACAGAATTAGCAACTTAAGGTCTCACAGTGAAGTCGTACTGCTGACTGTAGAGAAGTGCGACAACAGTAAGGTGTTTCCCTCGGACAATCAGCATCTGCAGCGATGGTGCCTTGTCAAAAAGAAGTATGCAAAGGGTTGGTAAAGGTCGACCCTAAAAATGTCGCACCTCACTTTAGTTCACAGATTTCTGCCTCCGGCGGTAAGGCCTTTTAAACAAGAGTGGAGCTAAGAATTTTAAAACTTCTCGTAAAAAGGCCGTGCGTGATCGGCATGAAGCAGTTGTCCCTTGGGCTCTGTGGTCACACTACCAGGTCTCTAAAACCGATGCTAATCTAACTCCGCTTTTAGGTCCCTCAAGAAACACTCTTCCACAATGCGGGTAGCCAGGAAGTGAGATCTACCCTCATACCCGACCAAATCAGTCACAATGAAATCCTTTCTACTCTCTTCGAAATGCTTTCATATCCTTATGCGTAGCTAGCCACTGTTGGAGAAGTCATACTCATTGCTTTCTTGTGGTAGACTTATTGTGAGAACGTCAAAACCCAACTATCAACTGGCGCTTTATCCGCGTTAGTGTAAATGGAGGATCCACTTAGGAGAGTTGAATACCTTCATTCCAAACTAATTTTAAACATGAATCACCGGCTTCTATAGAATTAATACTACCGAAATAACTTCACATTCTTATGAGTTAGTGCTGAGGACATTAGATCCCCAGAACTCGCTTGATAAATTTCTTAATTATGGAATATTTTATTCATGGACTGATCAGTTGACCTTGAGATCACATTTCCTACCAGGAGAATCCTTGACTGTCATTGGTTACTGTGTTATTTTAGTGACTCCCAAGGACGTTTCTACTATGATGCATAAATAAACGCAATTTGTGTGCGTGAGATCATTGTATTTT